TTAAGAGTACTTTGAGCCTTGAGGTCAACAGTCCATAAGAGAATTTCATTATGAGCGGAGCAAATATTAGGTAAAAGAAAGTTTTTCATAACTACAAATGTGCAAAGAAATTTATCATACATCGAAACTGAGAGATACGTTCTCAAAATGTAATGTAACTTGTATTTGTGACACCAGGAGAATTTCCTTAGAAACATATGCCCAGATTACAATTCTGATTCTTTTGCTTCTATTGATATGACTACAGAAAAGAGACAGCGAAGAATGTTGTATAGATTATTGTTAGTATTAGTTTTTGCTAGCGTATCGAATCACAAATTGGACTCTAGGAGAGGATGTGTCTCACACTCAAGTATAATAATGCAAAGGAGAAAAGTAATGATCGTACACTAAATGAACGAGATTTTGATATGACAACGTCTCTATTGATTGATAATTTTGTTGGAAAGTGTTGAAGCAGGCATTGTTTAAATAAGTTGGATAGTCAGACTGAAAAATAGGAAGGGTGCGGAGCGGCGAGTCGTGAGTGGCGCCCCATTGGGGCGCCGACGAACGACGAGCTGCTCCCGGTGACGCTCTCTAGTTCACATTTAGAAACATTTTGACACCTTTGGATTTGAAATTTACATGAACACTCATCTTTCTTCACTTAACTCTTCATTTTATTGGGAAAGGGAGAACACGTATAAGGTATGGTGCGGCAGCGCGACCGAAGATTTCTGTACCGCTTTATTGTTTAGAATGTGAGATAATCTGTTAAATGTGTATTTTATAGAGAACCATTTCCTCTTCCAAGCTGTAGGCTTTCAACGATATCATAAGACTTTCTTTTAGACCAGTGTTAAAAAGAAACCAAAGGGTTAGTTTTGAGCGAGCTGTGCAGAAGCAAAATTCGCCCGATCATTTTGCTGAATTAGCCGGAGAGAAAGTGTTGTATTATGATCTAACCTATACAGTTCGATAGAGAAAAAGATTCTCTACAAAATACACATTTAATAGATTATCTTATATTCGAATCAACGAAATAGTGCAGCCATTTGCGGTTGGAACCAAAAACGTTTTTTGGTCGCGATGCTAGGTCCTAGTTTGAAGATGCCTGTGATGATCTATAATGCAAGAGATAATATATGATAAGTGTATCCTGTATTGAATCGAAACAAATCGAATCTCTACTGTATGTTCCTCGTCCTTTCATAGTTCTCAGTACATACAGTATTATGCTACAGAAAAATATCAAGCTTTATAAATAATATCTAAGATCTATCGCTATCATACAATGAGCTGATGAGCCAGATGATCATGCGATCATAGTCTTTTCAAAACGCAGAGAGCAGAAACAGTCGTACATAAGAGTGCGTTTCTGATATCAATATCATATGAATGGTACATAATAAGAAGAAGAGATAAATTCATCAATATCTCTATGTTGGGTATATGGATTAAGAGGCTAACGTCGAAGTTCATATAAGGAAGAAAACAGATAATTGTTTTATATGAAGAGGAAGAGAAAGAGAAAGAGAAAGAGAGAGGAGGAAAAGTATACAATCATAGATTGTCATAATACCAAATATTTATAGTTTGAAACTTAAATTTAGCAGTCTACCCTTCCGTTCAATTATTCGAGTATTCGTATACTTGCGAGTGAGTAAAAGGGTTCTGAAGGGACATCATTTCCGTGAGGATGAACAGAAGAGTTTTGAAAGCAGTCGAATATTCAAATAATTGAAAAAAAGATTGCAAAAATAGTTGAGTCGAAATTTCGAGTTTCGCATTACTAAAAGACGCAATCATCATAGTAGCTATTCATAGCGGGCTGCTGTTTCATGTGTGAAAAATGATCATGAATAATGGACATTACATAAATAACAAGAACGATGGCAGTTAGGGGTGGACCATTTCCGTTAATTTGAAATTAACGTAAATAGTAACCCGTTAAGCGTTAATATTAACGTTAACGGTTGACGTTAACGTTAATATCAGCAATTAACGGGTTATACTTAACCGTTAATTTCCACTTTATTAAGTGATTAACGTATAAGAAAGATCTTCTATTGCTTCAGAGGCCATTGTAGATCCATCCTGACTCTGCAAATATAGATTCATGAACGAAAACTCAAAGGCGCATGGTTAATATCGCGTAGCCGGAGTAAAACGCTGCCGACCTGTAAGAAAATTATCAACCAATACCGATCTCTCGAGGCCAAATACAATTCGAGGTTGTTAGCGATCATCATATCATCGCTACTCCTCGCTCTTTCTTGTTCGGTATACGTGCCAGAATGTTATCTTCAATAACATTCTTTCTGCTTCTCTTTTTTGTTCTGAGCGAGAGTATGGATGGATATATATATATCCTCTACTCTACTCGAATAAAGTTTCTTCTTCTCGTCGAGTATCTCTATGTCTGTTTGGTGGGGGATGTGTTGATTAATTAGAGAGCTCACATTTTGGTGCCGTGACCCGGGATAATTTAAACAAACAACAATCCCATTCGCATGGAATTATATGTCGTCCGACGACGAACAACCACCAAAAGAACTTCTGCAACCAATTCATCATTTTGAAACTTTCCTTCCTACTCGTTTCACCTCATCTATGGCTTCTAATACTTCAACTGTTCCTGCAAAACCATCTCAAATTACCTTCTCCTCTCGGGATGAAGAAATGACATACACACGTAAACTTCTTGAGCATTGTACAACATTTGATGGAGATCAGGATAAGTTAGTCGATTGGTTAAAGGAAACTGGATCTTATCTCACCAAGGAAGGTTTACCTGAAACTGATCATCCCTTTATTATTCGTCATTTATTAACAGATGAAGCTCTCGATTATTATCAAGCCCATGAAGATCTTATCTTTAATTTCTATGATCTTCGAAAATTATTTCTACATAAATACAAGCTCCTTGCTCCCCTTCGCACTGTTACTAGTTTGGATTCTATTAGTACTTTATCTCTAAGTGCTATACCTTCCGTATTTACCTCTACTCATCTTCCAGCTACCTCAACAACAACACCCACTACTGCTCCTACTGATCCACCACCTACTCAAACAACTTTTACTTTCTGTCAATCGCTTGATGATCTTACTCAAAATGATATTCGGAAAACTATTATTGAAGATTTACAACGTAATACTCCGAAATTCACGGGAGATCATCGACAAGATGTTCTTAAATGGTTGAAGAATGTGACTAACAAATTTGATATTGCTGGTATACCTGATGTCAAACGATTCGAATTTATCTCACAATTACTTGGCAGAGGAGCATTGGATTGGTTCTATGACCATAAATCTAACTTTCATCATTCATGGTCTGATTTTGTGGTTGAATTCAAACGTACCTTTGATTCTCCCAATCGTGCTCGAATCGCAATGCAAAAATTACATTCATATACTCAGTCTCCACAACAAGATATTCGTAGTTTCTGTAGTGAAATGCGTAAGCTTTTTCTTGAAGCTGATCCTCAAATGAGTTCCACCATGAAATTGGAACTACTTTTAGCTAAAGTACTTCCCAGTTATCGTCTCGATTTATTAAAACAGAAACCTAAAGATTCGGATGCATTTGAACTTATGGCCAAGGATCTCGAAAGTACTTATCTTGTTCTCGAAGCGATTGAACAGAATGTTCCACGTACTTCTTCAGTTGTTGCCTCATCAACTTCTTCACCAGCTAGTGGTGGTGCCCCTTCATCACTTTCACGTCCTCAAGCAGCTTCATCTTATCCTTCTCCACGGATTCCTTTCCGTCCGTTTACTGGACCACGTTCTGTTATGCCTACTTCCTCCACTGCGGGTAATTTTCGTTCATTTGGTCCATCATCTTCCGGCTTTGCTCGTCAACCTTTCTCTCCTCGTTATGGTCGTGGTTATGCTAATTCTCATCCATCTACACGTCCACAACAGCTTTTTACCTATCAATCTTCGGACGCTTCATCGTTTCTTCCTCAGGCTCCGGTCTCTTCCTCTACATCTTTTCAATCTCTCAATACTTCATCTGCATCTGTCTCACCATCTGGTGGTGCTACCTCTCCACCTCCACTTATGGCTTTACCCAATTCCAGTGTTCCATTCCAACAACACCAGCAACACTCACCTCCTGCAACTTTCTCTGATACGTCTATTCCTTCTTGCCACCGTTGTTTTGGTCGTGGTCATACTGTTACTGAAACTTCCATTACACCAACTGCTGATGCTATTCAAGATCTTTTGGCTTTGCCTGAACCTCGTACTCTTAAACAAGCTAACAAATTTTTGGGTGGTCTCGCCTATTATCGGAAATTTGTTCCTGGCTTTGCCGATGTTGCTGCTCCGATTCATCAAGTGACCAATTTAACTACCTCTCGTCGTCATCTTTTTCAATGGACTGCTGCGCAATCTGCTGCCTTTCACGCTCTTAAACGATTATTAACTACATCTCCCCTCTTTCTTCGATTTCCGATTGATGGCTTTCCTCTTCACTTGGCTACGGATGCTAGTGGTGTTGCTACCGGTGGCGTTTTATATCAAGATGTTGATGGCCACCGTCGCAATCTCTTTTATCATTCTAAACTTTTATCTGCCGTTGAGCAAAAATACTCCGTTCCGGAAAAAGAAGCCTTAGCGATTTTTCTTTGTCTTCAACGAATGCGACCTTTGATTCTTGGCCGCGCAGTTCATATTCATACTGATCATTGTCCCATATGTGGTATGCTTCAGAAACCCGTGAATAATCGTCGCATTGAACGTGTGGCTAATTTAATTCAGGAATATCAAATTGCAGAAATGATCCATATCGACGGCAAAGCAAATTGTCTTGCTGATTTTCTTTCTCGCCCGTTTGATGATCCGCTTTTTGATGTCCCCTATGGTCTTGAAAGTAAATTCCCTCTTAATCATATTTCTTCGTGTCTCCGTGATCATGGTCTTTCTACTATGACTCTTCGCCCTCGACGTCCCGCACAGTTACCACCCCGTCCTGTTATCCTTACATCTGCATCTGCAACCTCGCTTTCTGCTTCCGATGCGTCGATTTCCGACGCTGATTCCACTTCCATATCATCTGCTTCTTCGGTTTCCTCGTCTTCTTCTTCAACCCTTGCAACTACACCATCTCCTAATGGTTTTGATTCTACCAGTTTAGTTGTTGCTCAACACGCTGATCCTGTTCTTCGTGCTATTATTGAACAACTTGCTAATCCAACTGCTCCAGCTACTCTAACGTCTTCTTTTATCCTTAAAAATGATGTTTTGCATAAACTCTTACCGGTTTCATCATCATCTCCTCGTGATTCTGCCGTACCATATCTGCCCTCTTCGATGGTTAAATCTCTTCTTATTGCTACACATGATGATCCATATCAAGGTGGACATTTTTCTACGGACAAAATGTTTTCAAAACTTAAATACCGCTATTGGTGGCCTAGTATGCGTCGTAGTATTCGACGCCATGTACAGGCTTGTACTCTATGCCAGCAATTTAATATTACTCGTAAGAAACCCGCTGGTCATCTTCATCCTGTTCCACCAACTGCTGTTCCTTTCTCGGTTATTGGGATGGATTATTGTGGACCATTTGTCACTTCTTCGAATGAGAATAAGTATGTTCTTGTAGTCACTGATTTATTTAGTCGCTTCGTCACTGCTATTCCACTTCCTTCGAATACTGCTAATGTTACTGCTCTTACTCTTTTTCGTTATATCTTCTGTAAGTATGGTGTTTGCTCAACACTTATTACGGATCAAGGCACTCACTTTAATAATCAACTCATGCGTGCGTTCCAACATCTTCTGGGATATCATCACATTCTTTCTACACCATACCATCCGCAATCGAATGGTATTGTGGAGCGATTCAATGCATCTATGGTTGTTCAACTCTCGAAACTTCAACAACAACATCACAACAACTGGGACGACTATATTGATCCAATCGTTTTCGCTTACAACACCTCTACCCATAAAACCACAAAATTTTCTCCGTTCGAATTATTATTTGGGCGTGCAGCTCAACTTCCCATCGATAATCCCCCTCGTTCATTCGTTTTCGATCGCCCTAATAATTATTTCGTTTACCTTCAAAAGCTTCTCCATATCTATCATCAACAAGCTGAAGCGCATATTCTAGCTCAACAATCCTCCACTAAACTTCGTTATGATCGTGGTCGTGCTGATCCTCGTTTTGTTGTGGGAGATCGGGTTTTTACTAGAATATTTGCACCTCGCACTAAACTTGATGCTCGTTATTCCGCGGATCCTCAGATTGTTGTGCACGTGGATCATCCTACATATATCGTTCGCAATCTTTCTACTGGACTTGAACGTTCATATCATGTTTCAACTCTTCGTTCGATTCTTCTTGATTCAGCGAATGAGTCGCAATCTTAATATTTTTCTCTCTCGTTGTTCTGACATTCTTAGCTATCTTGGAATCTGGTTTTGCATCAAACATTCTTTCTCTTCATTTTTTCTTTTTTTCATTTTCCTATGGTTGCTTGCTGCTGTCGGTCTTCTTATAGCTGGTTCGTTGCTCTCTCTCATCCATTTTGCTGGTGTACCATGGGTCTTACTGTCGTTTCGATTATTTGCCTTACTCTACTTCTCAGTCTATTTCCGTCGCTATCGTCTGCTGGTATCCGTAGTTGGTTTTGTGGTTCTTGTGCTGTTTGTCAACTTTGTCCAGCTTGTACACCCCAAATCAATGTTGCTCCATCCTGTCAATGTGAAGCTCATCTTAATAATTGCAATTGTCAGTGCCTTACTCAAGAAAATCTTCATGCTTATTATTCTCAATGGTATTCTCATCTTGGTGCTAGCTATAATAACTCTCATCTCTCTCAGCTGAACTACAATCATCTTAAACGTCGGCTGTTATGGTCGGTTATTCTTCTTCTCTTCCTTAATTTTCTTCTTCTCATCATTCTTGGCCTGATACTTTTTTTTGCACCTTCTCTTATCCGTCGATGGAATCTTTGGCGCCGTCGCTCTCGTGCCGATCGTCGTGCTCAACTTCAACAAAAACTGGATAAGCTCGTGCACTCGCCTTCTTCATCTCATGTTGCTGCTAATGATCCGCTCTCCTCAATTTCACAATGTTTGGATAATCATACTCAATTGATGCGCGATCTTAAGAGCGATTTAACCTCAATTCTTCATCCTTCAGCTTCTGCTATTCACGTTCGTTCTTCACCCTCCTAACGTTACAATTTGCTCTCCCATTTCTCGATAAACATTTTTTTCTTTCTTTTGTTGCGTTTTTGCTGGTAGAGGGGAGGTGTTAGCGATCATCATATCATCGCTACTCCTCGCTCTTTCTTGTTCGGTATACGTGCCAGAATGTTATCTTCAATAACATTCTTTCTGCTTCTCTTTTTTGTTCTGAGCGAGAGTATGGAT